ACCAACCTACCAACCTACCAACCAACCAACCTACCTACCTACCTACCTACCTACCTACCTACCTACCCACCTACCTACCTACCTACATACATACATATGTATACATACATATATATATACACACAGAGTTGTAGATTCTACCAGTATCGTCGTTGTTCGGTGTAAGCAGTCGGGGGTGCAGATCTAGGTTCAGCATGAAGGAGACTGTCGATCCAAGCGTCCTTTGTAGCAATCCGCATATCTCTCAACATGTTGTCACTGATGGCCCGGAGAGGCCTTTCACTGACCCCACCAAGCCCTCAAACCCCAAAGAAACCCGAAGCTGGTTTAGGGTTTAGGGTTTAGGGTCTCGACGTATTCACGCTTGGCCTGGACATCGTCCCGAAGGCATGCCTAAAACCCTGGATCCCAAAACTACCAAAAGTCTGACCCTTGTTGCTGCAAACACGAGCCCCGCCCTCAACCCCACGCCCTTACCCGTAGTCCTACAGTCGCAAGGGAACTTGCTGCGTGGTTGAGGTGCATAGTGTTGCTCCGCTGATCTTGAACCGTAGCAAAAATCTTAACCCCTATATCGTGAACCCTATCCCCATCTCACGGACCTTGCATCGCCCGCCCAGGCGGACGAAACCGTCGTCAGGCCGCAATGGCCCCGGGGTCAACTCGAGGGTTGCCATGTAGGGTTTCCAGAAAGGTTCAGGGTTTTTGGTTTCCAGAAGGGTGCAAGAAGAGGTCTAGTGGGGGTCCAGGGGTTTTAAGGCTGAGGTAGGACTACTCCTCAGGGTTCTGTTACTTTACTAATACAAAACACCCTAGACCTTATACCCAAAACACAAACCGCGGGCATTGAACCCTAAACCCTAAACCCTAAACCCTAAACCCTAAACCCTAAACCCTAAACTCCTAAACCCTAAACTCCTCTTTTTCCAGAACGCCATCCGAAGCACCCGCTAGAGGAGGTCTCATGTCTTACTTACCTCTGGGTTACTACAAAGTTGGTTTAGGGTTTAGGGTTTAGGGTTTAGGGTTTAGGGTTTAGGGCAGGGTTCGGGGTTTAAGTTAGATATAGATATAGAGCTTTCATAATTAGTCATACTGTTCTGCAGGTTTGCTTACGACAGTTCGGGTACAATATTCACCGAAAAACCCTCAACCCCTAAGCCCTACAAACCCTAAACCCTAAACCCTAAGCCCTAAACCCCACCGAAAACCCTGTTCCAGCAACTCTGGCCCCTTAAAAACCCTTGAAATCTTGAAAGAACCTCTACCAAGCTTGCAAAAAGCCCTACGCTGTTGATTGCAGTCCTTGATTCAATACAATTTTACAATACCATAATCAACTATAATACACCTATAATACACGATTATGTACCGCAATATACCAAAGTATACTATAATATACCATAGTAGACCATGACATACCATACCACGAGACACTATGATATACTACAGCACGCCACAATATACCATGCTATACAACAACGAACTAAAATCTACCAACATAATATATCCCAGAATGCACCATGGTATATTGTAGCTGCTATGCTGCACCCCTTGGCCGGCTATTCCTGCTGAGAGCCTGATGGCTTCGGTGTATCAGACTTTGTAGGGATCAGGGTCTTAGGGTTCAAGGTTTAGGGTTTAGGGTCTTAGCGTTTAGGGTTTAGGGTGTAGGGTTTAGGGTTTAGGGAGTAGGGTCTACAGCAAACCCCAAAAAGTTGGAACATGGGTTTGGGAGGATTAGTACTAGAATCCTTTCTACTTTACCTTAAGGGCATGAGGACGATGATGTTCCGACTTTCTGGCTTCTACTGTGTAGAGTTTAGGGATGGGGGGTCAGCCAGTTGAAGGTCTGACGATCTTCAGTTTCGCCATCGCGTATATCTGCATGCAGAATCCTAGGATCCCTGTGCATGAACAAAGAACTCCCCGATGCGTGCTGGTAACCCAAAACCCTAAGACCTAAAACCCCAAACCCTAAACCCTATCGCACAAATCGGGAAGTGTACCAAAACAATAAACCCTAAACCCTAAACCCTAAACCCTAAACCCTAAACCCAAACCCTAAAACTCTATGCCGCCTGTTTGGCTTTGCGTCCTTGGCAGGCAGGTTTCCAACACCAGCCGCAAGTCGCAGCCGGCCAGGCCTTTTCGGGTCTTCTTTTGTTTGAGTTTAGGGTTTAGGGTTTTGGGTTTAGGGTTTACTTGGAGATCCATGGGTAGTTATAAGTGGGGTTTATGGGGTTCCTTTAAGGGGTTCCTTTGAAGGGTTCTACAGGGTCTAGGGTTCATGGGTAGTTATAAGTGGGATTTATGGGTTTCCTTTAAGGGTTCCTTGAAAGGGTTCTATGGGGTTTGGGGTGTAGGGGTAGTTATAAGTGGTGTTATAAGTGTCCTAAGATGGGTCATAAGCATAGTTACCCTACTTATATACCCCATTTATAACTACCCATGAACCTCCAAGTAGGGTCCAAAGGTCTGCAGCCTAGGGGCCTTAATAATTAGAATAGGGCTTGGGGGGGTCCGGGATGCATGGTCAGCACGTTTGCTAGAGGCAACCCGCGACTTGCCTCTTCCACCAGCCTGCTCTCCGCACATATGTGACCGCAGACGCTGCAGAAGTCAGCGATTTAACTCAAAACCTTAAGATCCTATACCCGTAAACTCCTAGGCCCAACAAAACACGGACGAAGGTGGAGCTGTAGTGGTTTAGGCTCGTGAAGCTTCTCGTAGGTTCTTGCCTGAAAATGCTTTTGACTAAGCGTTCCTCGCAATACGCCTCGTCAGGGTGTTGTAATTTGCGAGCCTGGACCACGACATCGCACATCTGCTGTACTGTTATAGCTTCCAGACAAGGACAATTCCAAGCGCCGGGCCATGGAACAAGCGATGTCGCGCAGAAATCTGTGGCTTCTCCTGATTGTGCCGGGTCTACGTCTACTTGCAGCAAGCGAGAGCTTACAACAGCAAGGCCAGAGCTTCAACGACCTCATGGTCCGCCATTGCCACGAGAGACGGCACTGCGTGGAGTCAAGTGCTAGCTCCACGGCAGGTGGTCCTGGCATTCGGGTCAACTTCATGTGTGGACCGGCGGGCTGGACCGACGAGTCGAAGAAGAAGCATGCAAAGACCCAGAACAAGAATGATCTCAAGTGCGACACTGAGCAATACCATTTCCACGTGGAGCAGTCTGGCGGCAACATCGTGGTGACATTCAAGTGCCCCAAGGTCAATGGCCAGCGACAGTATTGCAGGATTCCCGCATTCGGCTCGAGTTTTACGGCTCCTGCGGAGGCCTGCTGCAAGCTGATGCAGACAAAAGCCAACATCGAACTGGCGGCAGCTCTCGTCAAAAAGGCTCGCGAGGCTCGCAAGGAGCTGTGACTGAGTCTCGGCCTGCAATATACCTATTGGCTCCATAGTAGTTCCTTTTTGTGGTTTATGTTTAGGATCCTAGAAGGTAGTCCCAAAAGGAGGTACAGTGGAGCCTGTAGGTATCGCGTTGCTGTGTTTTTCGGTGCTTCACTGAAGCGTCCCAGGGACGTTTTCTACAAGCTCCAAAGCCCGAGCTTGCTGAAAGATTTCGTAGGCTGCACATGGGAAGGACTCTAAATTAGGGCCCCCTAAGAAAATCCCAGTTATAGTGCGGCACCCAAATAAAAAAAGGAGCTTGGAAGGGACCTCAAATTAAAGAACTACCCACATGGGAAGGACTCTAAACCTTAAACCCTAAACCCGAAACCGGAATGGCTCTTACGATGCTCGGTTTGAGGTTTATGGCTGCTCAGGAGAGCCCCAATGACTTGGGGCATGGAAAGGCCTCACATGAAACCTACCCTTGAGCCATTCAGGTGGTTCATGGTTTAGGGTTGTAGGGTTCAGGGCATACGGTCGTAGGCTATTAGGGTTTAGGGTCTAGGCGGTCTAGGGTTTTCGGATTTCAGGTTAAAGGTTTGATACGATGACAGCTTGCGATTTGGGGTTTGGTTGGCGATTTTTTCGGCCGAATCACAGGGTACAATCACGTGCTTGAGAATTCGGCTAGGCTTTAGGGGTGGTAGGGTCTAGCTTTGAGAGTCCCGTAGGTTGCAACGAACGCCAACTTATGATCCTGTTCTCGGGGGGTCTGCATCAAGCGTGCATTGTCTATGATGACCATGTCGTTTTGCATATCTCCTTTTCGTACTTACATCATGCCAGCAATGAAGTTGGCTAATTGGGAGAGGAACTACAGTGGAGTATACATACATATAGATAGACAAAAAGATAGATAGATGAATAGATAGATAATCCGCAAAGTCTGCGCACCTTAAGCCCCAAACCATGGCCTTGGGTTTCTAATAATAAGGGTTTCTATAAGAACTCTACAATAGAGGGACCTTAGTAATTAGAGCAGGGTTTCGGGGTAAGATTTCGAGGGGGCTGTAATTACGTCTATCATGATAATATGGACTTCTCTATTGCACCGCGCATTTTCATTGAGCTCTCCCAGCGGCCGTGTACATGCAGTTTGTTATGGTTGCCAGTAGTTGCCGCTTAAGTGTGCAGGCCCTTAAACAAATCAAAAAAAAACCTTCCGTATTGGCTGATACAACTGCACGGGTTTAGGTTTACAGTCTCAGCCAGGACGCTTTCAAAAGGTTCGGCGAAGAATGCCCCAGCCCCGGCAGAGATAGGGTGGGCGTTCGGCACGGGCGCCTCAGGGAGAAGAGGAGCTTAGTTTTGGGTGTTGCCAGAGGTTTGCATGAGACCAGCTGCTTCGCAGTAGGAAAGATTCTGCAGTATGTCGTCATGATATTTTGTGAAGCATCTGGTACATTAGGCTGCGGGCGGTGACAATGCGAATGAGTGGTCTCACACTGTGACGCCAGGAAGTTGGAAGTTCAGCTTTCAGGCGAAGGTTCAAGTTTCAGGATTTATAAACTGTCGGTTTTAGGTGGTAGGGTTTCAGAATGTAGGGCTTAGTACTTGTATTGCACGGTCGCGGTTCGGGTGGCTTTCGCGGCTCAGGCCCTGAATCCATGTTGGTTATGGCAACATGAGACCCCTAAGCCTATGTCCCTCTGCCCGGAGACCCTAAATTTCAAGTCCAAGTTCTTATATATATACAGATTACACTCTGTCCCACAGAGCGTTCTCCGCGCTGAACTGAATACGGAATGCAGGAGTACTGGTAACGATACAATGCTAGTCATGGTCATGACACTAAGAGCAGATTCATGAACAGGAGGGTGGTAATCAATATAATATAGGGGCCTCAATAGTTACCTATACTATTTTGGGGTTCCTGATTATAATCATCGTATAGTATACCCCCAAACCCGGCCCAAACCCTAGGGCCTAGGGTGCATGTTTCAGGGCTTTGGGTTCAGAGCTTCGGGTTTAGGCCCAGTTAGGCGCTTTTTTCTAGTCTAATTATTGAAAAAAGAGGCCCCTATATTGCGTCATTAGGCCATGATGTCGATCGCCAGGTGTCTCCCGATGCTCAGATGGCCAGTGAAAAGAAGCAGGCATCCAAAGGCCTGAGTCGGAAGAAGTCGAAGGCTCGGGGAGCGCCAGTGATCCGTAATAACTCCTCGAACCCTAAACTCCCCTAACCCTAAACCCCTAAATCCTGAACCCTAAACCCTAAACCCATGAACCCTAAACGCTAAACCCCTGAACCCTAAGACCTAAACCCTAAACTTCCTAAACTCCTGAACCCTACACTTGTAAAGCTTAAGTTTGTTCAAGATGAGGACGTCGGCTTCGGGGTGTGAGGGTCTAGATGCAGGGCTTCGGAAGCTTAGGTTTAGAGTTTTGGGGGCTTACGGTTTAGAGTTTGGGTTTAGGGTTTAGGGTAGGGTTTAGAGGCTGAGGAAGAGCCGGGGGTGTTTACTGGGGTTTGGGGGCTTTAGGGCATAGGGCCTATTTAGTTGATGCGGTGTTGTGTTTCCGGATGGCTTGCCGGGTTTCCCGCAGCATGCAGCTCAGGGTATAGCCGGGTATAGCAGTAAAGCTGCACTGCCTTTTTAAAGGTTGTGTTTGTGGGGCTCATCGTCGTCGTCCTCGTAGCACTAGGTGTAGTAAGGGCAGGAGTAAGAAGGCATTGATAGTCCTGGTCGTTGTGTCGCAGTGGCCTCGGGTCGGGGGTGAAGTGGTGTATTTATATCATGAGTAGTGAGTAGTGCTGTTGTGGTAGCAACGGCAACAACCACCACCACGATAGTCACGACAGTCTCAATCGTCGTACTACCCTAAGCCCTAAACCCGTCGTACTGCCTACTGCGGCGGGTAGTGGCAAACTGTAATGCAATCAACCGTGACAAGTTACAATACCCCTCCTCAGGGTTCCATACCAACCAAAATTCCACCGACCCCAATAACATAGGGGCCTCAATAATTGAATGAGGTTTGGGGTATATTATACTATACTTATAATAAGGAACCCCCCAAAACCCTATTCTGATTATACAGGTCCCCAAGTTGAGAAGTAGAACAGCCTACATG